CAATATATAAATCAATGTGTAAAACCAGACAAAAAATAGCATTTATTTTTTATTTTATTTTGTCTAAATGAAAACATTTAAACATTTAAATCAGATTTGATTTAATTACACCAGATTTTTAAAGCAAAATAAACATCGGGCACTGATGAATGTGTGAAAACTTCCTCTCAGACATAAATTAGACGACACCAGAAGGATGCCAGCAGTGGCTGTCTGAGGTACACGCAAAATGCAATTCATTATTAAAATTAATTTTAAAGACAGTAGATTAGTTCAGGTTTAATGCAGTATGTGTTCATACATCGAAAAATTATCACCAGAAATATATGTTGCTTGACTCATTTTTAAAAATACTATCAATTTGTATTGTCAAAAATCAAGAAGAGGCCAAATAATGCATCTTCACATCAATCTAAATCATCAAAAAGGTTTTTTTTCCTCAGTGAAAATTGTTGTAGTTGTTGCAACAGTGAAGAAAGAAAAAAAAAGTTATTTTTTTCACTCGTGCCGGAGACGTTTCCTCGGAGAAGGTGGAGGCTCCAGGGAGAAGGCAGTGGGAGAAACGGGCCGGGACTCTGGGAAGTATTCTGTCTCGTACTTGTCAATGTAAGGTTTGGCCACATTCCACACCTGCGAGGTACAGAAGCAGTTTAGATCAGTTCCAAACTCACAACCCTATGTTGGTTTTCTAAATGATGCAGGACTCGCCTTCTGGTCCAGGATGAGACGGTGAACAGCTTCGATGTCTGGAGACATGAATCTGTCTTTGATCCACGGTCTGTTGGCAGCAGGAGAGCACAGGGATGACAGAGGATAAAAATTAACCAAGCATCGTGTCGGTGGTTTGAAAGCCGTGTACCTTGGCCTCATCTGTTTGACTTACTTGACCACACTGCGCACGAGGTCATAGACCTTCTCCAGCGGGGTGGTGGTACGAAGTGGGCGGAGGAACTCGATACCCTGACAGGCCACCAGCAGCTCTATACCAAGAACTGATCACAGAAATCACCTCTTCACTTCAACAAAATATGCAACAAGGTCTTTAAATACATGCATGATCAAATAAAACCAACATCTGATGTCACTTTAAGAAAATAAACAACAACAAATGTTTCGTACTAAATCCATTAAAATAGATCATGTGTGAATCAGCAGGGCTAAATTCACTTTATAAACACATACTGATTTAAAATGGATTTATAAATCATATAGAACCAAATTAATTCTGTTTTTTAAGAAAAAAATAATACAACAGCAGTTTGTCTTAGGTCTATTCCAGCAGTATTTTCTTCACGAAACAAGAAAAAGGAAAGAAACAGCAACACCAAAATGTATTTAAACCTATAGCTTTACATTTATTTACTTATTGACTCTAGATCAAAAACATGAAAGTATTTATTTAGTTCTTAACCATTGACGTTCAGGTAAAACCTCAACCATAGTTACTGAAACCTGAACCTGAAACATTAACTTTTTATGCATTCAAAACTTACTTTAAAGATTACCATCTTCTGATGGTTAACAAAGTTCGGGTCAAGGGAACAATAAGGTAAAACTTCGCTCTTTCTTGATCCAGCTTAATCAGGTGGACTTCAAGGTTTTACCATGTCTTCTGTCAGAGACATCATAGGGACTGGTGTGTTCGGCTGCACCTGTTTGTCGTTGAACTTACAGGGTTTTGGTTATGGTTTGGGCAAAGCCTTTCATCTCCGGACAATCAATCTTAATGCTTCAGCCGACTAAGACATTTTGGACACTTTCATGCTTCCAACTTAGGCACTATAAACTACAGTTCATTTAGTATACCAGTTACCATCCTGGAGTACAAACAGTGTTGTCACTATCCAATCAGGATACTCGGTGATTTTCACTACAATCTGTGCCCTCATTTAACCTTTCACACACATTTATACAGCACTCTATTATATCTCTACAAAGCTAATCTGGATAACCGGTAGAGACTGATTGGTGCTTTGACCTGTGACTGAACTGTGCTGTTATCAAAGCCCTAACTCTCTCATTAGAGAGTGACTGCTCTAACCACTCAGCCACAGCGGCCCAAAGACTATAAAGACCTTGTTTGATGAGTTCAGGTTTTGAAGAACGTGACTGACCCACACACAGCCATGACCTCAACCTCACTGAGCACCTTTGGGATGAAAAGGAATTAAAACTGCTAGCTTATGGTGCAAGTTTAGTGTCCAACCTCAGAAATGCTCAACAGAAGAAAAATATTGTGGAAAAACTTCCAGGAATAGTTACAGAGTTGGTGTGATGGTCTGATGTGACTGATTCTTTCTGTCTGACTGATCTCTCCAGCTAGTCCTGGAGGTCTCCTCAGCCAGCTCATTCCAGTCGATGGTATTCTACCACCACTTATGAACAAGACCCCAACACTCTTGAACCCCTCCACTCAGGACAGTAGATCTCATGCAACCCAAAGGTGACAATCCTCCCTTTCCTGATTGAGGACCATGACTTAAGACTTGAAAATGTTCATCTTCGTCTACTTGGCTTGAAAGTAAGAAAGGGGAGCTTTAAAGAAAAACAGGTTGGGAAACACTGGCCTAACCCTTCCTAAAATGGTGCTCCTCGTAGCTTGATTAGCTTACTTACAGGAATAATTGTCTTCAGTCATTTTGAACTGGATTTTCAAAGCATTCAATCCCTGAATTTAACATTTGTATTTATCTTTATTTGAGTTTTTCACTTCCTTTCTTTAAAATAATAATAAAAACACATTTACATGTTGAACCTCACCTTGCTCCACATGCTCTATGACTCTCAAGGCTTTCCGAGCTGCCCAGCCTCCCATAGACACATGGTCCTCTGTGGCAGCGCTGGTGGACAAGGAGTCCACCGAGGACGGGTGACACAAAACTTTATTTTCTGAAACTGAAAGAGAGTCAAGAGTTTTTTTTTTCTTTGGTTCTGAACAGCAGGAAACACTGATACAACCATTAAGCTGCAAAACAAGCTCTTCACTTGGTTCCACTCACAGACCAACCTAAAGAAGCAGCCGTGCAGTGGGCAATCATGAAGCCGGAGTTGAGGCCGCCCTCGTTGACGAGGAAGGCAGGCAGCTCGCTCAGGGAAGGGTTACACAACCTCTCGATCCTCCTCTCGCTGATGGAGGCCAGCTCGTGGACTGCGATGGCTAAAAAGTCCAGAGCCTTGGAGGGACAGTTTGGCTTTAAAACATGATGACACACAGCAAATACCAAATTATAATTATCACTCACGAACCTTTGCTGGGTATTCACCATGGAAATTTCCCCCCGAAATGGTCTCGCCTCGTTCTGCAAACACCATCTTTTACCTCCATTAAAGCCAAACAAACAGTACAGCTGATTTCTAATATAAAAGCAGATTAAGTATTTAGTTGATAAGATAATGAAGGATACAGGGTTGTCAGTGGCACTGTTGATTTCTGTATTGATGATATTTTGGACAAATTTGATGGTGTCATTTGCAATTCCATGAACCTGCGTAGGGGAATATGAAACTGAGAAACAGCTCACTTAACCAAAGTTTAATCACAGCACTGCTAAGACAATATTGTTACGGTACAATTTAGCTAACAGTTTAAGGACTCTCCATGGGTTCAGCATCTGCAGATTATTTAAGACTGGACTGATGCTTCCATGAAACATGCAGAAATTAATCACTAGATCCACAGACTATTTGGACTCAACCCAATTCAAGATGGCTGCCACAGAAAACTGATTTTAGAAAAGACAAACATGGTTACAACTCAGCCTGAAATAATGAGCTAAAATATGATGTGGTAGCTGAGAGTCATCCCCAACACATGCTCTGAACGCTACACGTTTGTGCCAGATCTTGAGAAGTAGCTTGTTTGCTATAGATATTGTAATATCTCCTGAATTGGACATAATTGTTCATTTCAAGATTTGTCCTAAATACATAAAAGTTTGTCATATTTTATAGTAAGATGATAGTCTAAAACTTTTGCATGAACGGAAACGAGTAATATGCATTCCTTCAAGGAATGTTCTGCCTCTTATTGTATTTGTCATAGTTTTTGTTTTTGGTTTTGTAAAAGTTTTATGACCTACAGTAGTTTTGGTTTCATTTGACCACTCCTGTTTTATGATATCTGTCTTTGAACTACTGTGGTTTGCAAAAGTATTCATACCCCTTGAACTTTTCCATATTTTGTCACATTACAACCACAAACATAAATAT